TTTTTGCTATTGCCAAAATGATGTGCAAGAGACCCCAAATAGCTAAAACAATCCTGAGAAAGAAAAAAAAAGTTGGAAGACCCGTGCTTTTCCACTTCAAAACACTACATGCAAAAGAGTGAGGTTGAACTTCTACTTTATGCCATATACAAAGATTAACTCAAAATGAATTAAAAACCTAAATGTAAGTGCTAAAACTATAAAACACAACAAAAGATAGGTGGGAAACTTGACGACAATGGATTTGGCAACGATTTATTGAATGTGACACCAAAAGCACAGACCACAAAAAAAGAGAAGAGGAGAAATTGGACTACATCAAAATTTAAAACTTCTGCACATCAAAGAACACATTGGACAGGGTGAAAAGGAAATCCACAGAATAAGAATAATATTTGCAAATTACATATCTGAGAAGGGGTTAGTATGCAGAATATATAAAGAATATTTTAACTTAACAACAATAAGAAAACAACCTGGTTTTAAAAATGTCAGAGTACTTGAACAGACATTTCTGTAAAAAAAAGATATACAAACATCCAATAAGCTCGTGGAAAGATGATCAACATCATTAGCCATCAGGGAAATGCAAATCAAAACCACAATGACCACCAGGATGGCTCTAGTCAAAAAGACAGACAATAGTAAATGTTAAGAATGAGGAAAATTTTGATTCCTCATAAATTGCTTGTGGGAGTGTAAGATGATGCAGTCCTATTGAAAAACATTTCAGCAGTTTCTAAAAATATTAAACATAGACTTACTATATGCCTAGAAACTTCATTCCTAGATATTTAACCAAGAAAAATGAAAATGTACGTCCATACAAAACTTGTACATAAGTGTTCATAGCAACATTATTCATAATGTCCAAACAGTGGGAAAAACTCAAATGCCCATCGACTTGATGAGTGGGTAAACAAAATGCGGTATATCTATACAATGGAATGTTAGTCGTCCATAAAAAAGAATGAAGTACTGATACATGATACAAAATGGATGAACTTTGAAAATATTATGCTAACTGAGAGAAATCAGACACAGAAATGTACATTTTGTATAACTCTGTAGGAAATGTCCAGAATAGACAAATTCATATAGACGAAGTAGATTAGTGGTGTGGGGGAGGAAGGAATGGAGAGTAACTGATAATGGGTACAGTGTTTCTTTCTCAGTGATGAAATTGTTATATAATTATAGTGGTGATGGTTGCACAATTTTGTGAATATACTAAAAACTACTAAAAGTACACTGAAAAATGATTTTTAAAAACTTTAAAAATGCAACAAATAGCAGGTTACATATGTCATTTCACACATGTGCTAGTGTATGTGAACAATAAATTATTAGAAAAGGTATGGCCAGGTAAAAGGAGACATGAAACTTTAAACCTGGTTGACATGATTGAACCTCCCTACTCAGGGATTTTAAGAATAAATTGTTGATCAAGTGCGGTGACTTACGCCTGTAATCCCAACACTTTGGGAGGCTGAGGTGGGCAGATCATAAGGTCAGTTCGAGACCAGCCTGGACAACATGGTGAAACCCCATCTCTACTAAAAATACAAAAATTAGCTGGGTGTGGTGATGGACACCTGTAATCCCAGTTACTCAGGTTGCTGAGCGGGGAGAATCATTTGAGCCCAGGAGGCGGAGGTTGCAGTGAGCCAAGATTGCACCATTGCACTCCAATCTGGGTGACAGGTCAAGACTCCATCTCAACAAAAAAAAAGAATTTTTTCACAGCAATGACGGAGCATGTCTTTTACTTCACAGCCTTGCCAAAAAAGTGTGACCAAGCATTTGAATTTTTGCCAATATGATGGGTGATGATGTCACTAGGTAGATTTGTTTCAAAAAAGAATAATATTTTTATTGTTTTTATTTTCAAAATGTGAATAATTTGAGAGAGATAACAAATATATACAAAAAGAGAAGAAAATATCAGAAAAATCCCATAATACAGAAGTTGTTAATAAAATCTGGTGAATATCCTTTTGGAAATCTCTTTATATGCATTTTAAAACTATTATTCTAAAATGAGCTCTGACATACATACAGCACAGCCTATAAAGTGTACAATTTGATTTTGATTTTTTATATAAACACCTGTAATTGCTACCCAGATTAAGATACAGAATATTTCCGCACCCTGTAAGGTTCCTTGGTTGTCCCTTTCACTTTATACCCTTGGAATAAATCACTATTCTTACATCTTAATAATTGATTTGTCTTGCCTTTTTCTGAATCATATATATATAGGTTGAGCATCTCTAAATAAAAAATTCAAAACCTGAAATGCCCCCAAGTTTGAAACTTTTTGAATGCCTACATGATGCCACATGTGGAAACTTCCACACCTGACTTCATGCCACAGGTGCACAAAATTATTTAAAATATTGTGTAAAATTACCTTTAGGCTATGTGCATATGAAACACAAATGAATTTCACTTAGATTTGAGTCTCATCCTCAAGATATCTCATCATGTATATGCAAATATTCCCAAAGTCCAAAATCCAAAACACTCTGGTCCCAAGCATTTTGTATGAGGCGTACTCAGCCTGTATATACAAACATACCGGTGTTCATGCCTCTCATCTATCACTTACATCTCTATGAGAAACACCTATGTTCTTGCCCACATCTATACATTTTGAGTCAATTTTTTAATTCAAATGAAATTATTTAGAATAATTTTAGATAAGCAGAGAAATTGCAAAATTAGGACAGAGGGTTCTCGTGGTCCCCAGCTTCTTCTACTGTTAACATGTGATATTACTCTGGTATGTTTGGCACAGTGAAGGAACCCATATTGGTACATTACTATGATCTCTACTCTGCACTTCATTTGGATTTTTCCTTTTCCGTTCCAGGATCCCATCCAGGTCATCACATACATGTAGTCATCGTGTCTGTTAGGCTCCTCTGGGCTCTGAGAGTTTGTCCCTCTCCTTGGTTTTGATGGCCTTGACAGTTTTGGAAAGTCCTGCTCAGATAATGTGTTGAATATTCCTCATTTTGTCTTTTTCTGCTGTTTTTCTTTTGGATAGACTGGGGTTTGGAAGACCACAGAGGTAAAGTGCCATTCTCACCACATTGCATCAAAGGGACATGCAATCAACATGGCTTATCCCTGTTAATACTGACTTGTTCAAACAGTTGCAGCAGTGTTGGTCCAGTTTCTCCGCTGAAGAGTTACCTTTTTTACTGCTTTCCTCACTCTACTCCCTGGAGGAAGGTTCTAAATGCAGCCCTCCCTCAAAGGATTAAGAGTTAAGCTGGACCTCTTAAGGGAGGAGTATCTACAAACATTAACCTAAGGAATATTCATTTATAGTCCCGTGAAAGAAAAGAAAGGGCTCCGAGAGCAACTTGGAAGTTTGGAAAACACAAATGAAGCTAGACGTGTTCCTTCACCACATTATTTCACCGATTATTATACTAATGCACATCATGGTACTCCAACTTGGGATATAGAATGCAGAATTTTGCAAATTTATTTTTAACTACAGGAGCACCACCCCGCCCCCCTAACTCCACTTTTGTTCTTTTGGTCCCATTGTGATCTAAAAATGTTTTGCAAACCTCATAATTATCTGGGAAGCTTATTTTAAAATACCAATTCTCAGTAAATCTAAATTAGTATCTCAAGAGATGGGATCTAGGACTTTGGATTTTAAAAAGCAACTCCTCCAAGTGATGCTGCTGTATTTGACCCGCAAAATGTGGGACTTGAGAGCAGGCAGCCCATTTTGTCCAGAGCTCAAGAACCATAAAGACCCCTGGACTGTTCTATTCACCTTTGTTTCATTGATTCAACAAATATTGAAGAACTCCGGGCACTGAGGATTCTGAAGTGAGGGAGACACACAATGTGTCCCCAAAGTCTGCTCTCAGGTAGCTCATATTCTTGTAGGGAAAAGCAGATCCCATTAAAATTTCAACAGATAATCACGTCACAGGTCAGGGGATAGTAAGTGCTCTAAAGAAAAGTAAAGCAAGGTACATGTGACAAAGAGTGACATGCTATTTATACAGGATTTTCAGGGAAGATCTCTCTTTGATTTTGTCAAGAAGTAACGCCACATGTAACAAGGATATCTACAGAAAGATTGTAAGAGGCAGAGTAAACAGCAAGTGCAAAGGCCCTGAGACAGGAGTGGGCTTAGCACCAAGGAACTTGATCACTGCCCTGGAGATTTGGACAGGGAAAGGAAAGAAGGCAGAGGAAGAACATGCAGGCCGGAGGGTAGAGAACAAACATACCTATAAGAAGGCATAAAGAGACAATTTACGTGGGGATATACAGATACAATGGGAAAGTGGAGTCTCTGCAGGGACCCTAAGTCCCATAGTGGGGACTTCAAGTTCCTTTGAACTCCAGGCAGGGACGCTTGGAGTATATCTGTAACAGGAGCCACTTCTTTCATGGACAAAAAACGATACAACTTTATGCAAGGTACACTAGGTTTTGTTTGCTTTCTGGGTTTGTTTTTGTTTTTGTTTTTGTTTTGAGATAGAGTTTCACTCTTGTTGCCCAGGCTGGAGTGCAATGGCGTGATCTTGGCTCACTGCAACCTATGCCTCCCGAGTTCAAGGGATTCTCCTGCCTCAACCTCTGACAGCTGGGATTACAGGTGCCCGCCACCACACCCGGCTAATTTTGTGTTTTTACTAGAGACAGGGTTGCACTATGTTGGTCAGGTTGGTCTCAAACTCCTGACCTCAGGTGATCCTTCCGCCTCAGCCTCCCAAAGTGCAGGGATTACAGGCGTGAGCAACTAAGCCTACCCTCCTTTCTAGGTTTTGTATGCTTTGTGACAGGATAGAGACGGGCAGTGAGAGATAGCAGGGTACATACCATGGACAGACAAATGAATAAATCTTAACCACAGAGCTACCTAAAATGTTTTGTGGAATAAGGCAAGAAAAATTATCAATCAATTATAGCTTCACTAATTATGAAATACCACTGTATGAAAATAAAATCCAAATTACCTTGCACATGCAGAAATCATTAAGCACACAGCAAGTAGGATTGCCTGAAAGCAGACTTCTTGCAACAAACTGGTTTCTAATACAAAGAACAAAAATAAATAAATAAGAAATCATTGCTGATTCAATCATCTTGGAACAAGAAAATCATCTCAAACTTCCCTTCTACTCACCAAAAACAAAAAAAGTTTTTGAATGTATGTCAGTTCAAGTGATGCATTATAAATAACAAGATAAAATTACCTAATGTTAGACAGGGCTGTCATTGGACAATTTTCTGCAAATAATTGCTTTCTTCAATCACTATAAAATAAAACTATAAAACTATTTACATAGCTTAGGACTTGCCTTTTGATTTCATTTTGGGGAAAGGCTTTGTAGAGTTTAGGATAATGTAAGAAACCTAACTCTGCGATTGCGATGATAATGATAATATGCCTAAAATCTGTAAAGTGCCTTATAATTCACAAAGAGCTTTCATACGTTAGTTCACTTAAACAGCACCACAACCCTGTGAGGTGGATGCCATTATCTTAGTTCTGCAAAGAGAAGAACAAGACTAAAAGAAATGATGAACCTGTCCAAGGTCACACAGCTATGAGATGTCACAGCCAAGATTAAAAAACCGCATCTAGACAGAACATAACATTTTGTCTAAAGTGAGCAGGGAAAGGCAATTGCAACTTTGTATACTGGAAGTCTCTAAAGACCAAAAATGAGAACATATATTATGAAACATTTGTCTCTGCAATCAGTACAATATTTCAGTACTGCCAAGCCACAGTAGTAACTACAAATCATCCAGCAATTATAGGCATAAGAGTTGAACCAATCATGAACCTCAGGATTATTCTAATCACCTTACACAAATTAAAACTGTTTTAAGGATTACCACATAAAAACCTAAAGGAGAGTATAAACAGATCTCAACTTCATGTTGGTCAAATGCTTCAAAAGCTCAATTTTGCAACAGTTGTTTAAAACTTGGAATGACTTTATGTTATGAATGCATTTATTTTTGCTATTTATGCCATGAATGAGGATTGAGTCAGCTAACAAAACTTACTTAGCCCATAATGCGGGTGGAATACTGAAGATTGGCAATTCAAAAAATCACAGTAGTAAATTATGTCACTGCAAATGTACAGTCGTTCATGTACATTGTGAATTAAGTTATTGTGAGTTCAATTGAACACTCAACCATCCTCCTAAAGTGTGTTTCTATTCTTAGCCTTCCCTGATTTTATGTGGAGTTTGGAAAAAATTTCCTCACAGAAAGAAATCCAGCTTGAAAAACTGCAAAGATCACTAGACTTGGATACTGAAGAATGAATGGGTTTAAGTTTGAGATCTACAAAGATGAATTGTGTGATTTGGGATGAGTTATTCATGGATTCCTTCCTTAAGTAGCCATTTGCTGAATACCTCCTTCAGCTCAGCTCAAGTGTATCCTCTTTCAGGAAGCCCACCTTGATTCTACTAGCTCCTCCTTGGCCCTTAGCTGCTCCCTCCGTGGACTCCCATTATACCTTGTTCATATCTTCATTAACTCTCTTTCCACATTGAATTAAAAATTCTGTGATATTTCTCTATATTCCTCCACTGGACTGCAAGCTCACTGAGAAAATAATCAGCATCTAGTTCCTGTTCTCCAGGGACAGTGCCCATATTTTCCTTGTGGAATCACCTCTCCCCACCTTTGGTGCACAGTTTAGCTGAAGTGACTGAGTTTTTCTGATTTTCCTCCAAGCATTTTTTTTCCTTTCAAGCTTTTTGGAGTTTCACATACTTATCAACAAGGTTTTGTCAATGTGAAACAGCCCTTTCCAGAACCAACAAATCAATTATTGACCTCTTGTCATTAGTCTAGACAGATGTAAGCTCTGTCTGCTGAACAGGAAACTGGAAAGGTGTAGGCACAGAGCCACCAGGCTCCACCATGGAAGGAGGATTTTTTCTTTTCTTTTTCTTTTTTTTTTCTTTTTGAGACAGAGTTTCACTCCACTGCCCAGGCTGCAGTGCAGTACATGATCATGGCTTACTGCAGCCTTGACCTCTTAGGCTCAGGTGATCCACCCACCTCGGCCTCCCAGGTAGCTGGAACTTTAGGCATGCACCACCACGCCCAGCTAATTTTTTTTAGAAATTGGGTCTCACCATGTTGCCCAGGCTAGTCTTCAACTCCTGGGCTCACATAATCCTATCACCTCAGCCTCCCGGGTAGCTGTCACTATAGGCATAAGCCACCATGCCTGGCTAATTTTTGTATTTTTTGTAGAGACAAAGTCTTACTATGTCAGCTAGGCTGGTCTGGAACAACCTTTTAAAGAGTAACAGACACAGAAGAGAAGAGAGGACAAAAGACAAAGAATGACAGGATCCTGCTCTATAAGCCTGGGATTTTCATTAAGATGAGTCAATACATTCTCCTATTGACTGATCCACTTTGAGTTGGGTTTCCATCCACTGGAACTCAAAAATCTTCAACTGATACAGATGATGTACCTACCTATATCCTTAGCACCTGGAACAGAACACACATGCAAAACCTACATGCAAAGGACTTAAAGGAAGATGGAGACCTTGTCCACCCAGGACTTCATAGGCCAGTGAGAAAGAGGACAATAAACGCTTTCTATAGCGGAAAATAGAGTGCCAGAGAACCAAGGGGAAGTAAAATGCTAACACCACCAGCCAGAAGGGGGTAGAGAAGGCGCATAGAGGAAGTCTCATCTAATTGGAGGCTTGAGGAAGAGTAGGGGAGCCACCCAGGTATAGCAGGTAGGAGAGATACTCCAGACACAGCCAAGAGGTTATATTTGTTCTGACAAAACTCTGAGCAAAGAGTACAAAGGTTAACTTTACCTGTCTGAATCCGAGTATTCTTATCTGTAAAATGGAGGTAGCGCAGTTATTAATTGGTCCATCAGCGATAAAGCATTATCTCTGTGCCTACGTGGGCATTTTGGAATTCGCAGATGACTAGGATCTAGTGCTCATATTTAAGGCGCTCACAGAAGCAAACACACAGTAACAGTGCAAATAATGGGCATGAGAAAGAGAAATCCTGGGAGCTAGGGGAGTGCCAAGAAGGGTGGGCTCCCTGGAGGAGGTAGCTATTGAGCCTCCTTAGGTGTTAATAATCTGTCATTGCAACATCTGGAAAGGGAACATTACAAACAAACAAACAAACAAAAAACTCTGGAGACTTGTCTAGTAGCTACACTGGTAACACAATAAAGAAAGCATACTGATCTTCAGGACGAGAACTGGAGACTTGTCTAGTAGCTACACTGGTAACACAATAAAGAAAGCATACTGATCTTCAGGACGAGAACTGGAGACTTGTCTAGTAGCTACACTGGTAACACAATAAAGAAAGCACACTGATCTTCAGGACGAGAACTGGAGACTTGTCTAGTAGCTACACTGGTAACACAATAAAGAAAGCATACTGATCTTCAGGACGAGAAGGGTGACGGCCAGTGAAGTGAATACTTATGATTTTGTGAAAGGAAATAAAGAGAAAATATTTTTTCCATTTAACTTCAACTTTATGTAACAATAACTTCACATTTACTTGGTATTCAGTAGACATGACACAGTATGCTAAGTACTTTAAGTGAGTTATTCTAGTTATTACAAGGTAGGAATTATGATCATCTCCATGTAGAGATAAAAATGTTAAGTTTGAGAGGGTTTGGTAAACTGCTTCTGAGTTATAGCTAATGGGTAGGGCGCTGGACTTTTAATCTCAGCAAGCCAATGACAGAGTGAGCTCTCTTCACCTTGGTGCAGCACCATGTCCAAACATGTTTAATCTGACATTAGCAAACTAGAGATTAAGGGACATGCTTGCTAAATTTATACCAAATGCCTTTATTATCTTTTGACTTTCTGTGGTCAGGAACATAAAGAATGTTCTTTTCGTTCTTTTTCTTCCTCCTCCTCCTCCTCCTCCTCCTCCTCCTCCTCCATCTCCCCCTCCTCCTCTTCCTTCTCCCTCGCTCCTCCTTCTTCTTCTTCCTCTTCTTCTTTTTTTGAGATGGAGTCTCACTCTGTCGCCCAGGCTGGAATGCAGTGTTGTGATTGCAACTCACTGCAACGTCAGCCTTCCTGGTTCAAGCAATTCTCCCTGCGTCAGCCTCCCAAGTAGCAGTGGTTAAGGTGTGTGTCACCATGCCTAGCTAATTTTTGTATTTTTAGTAGAGATGGCATTTCACCATGTTGGCCAGGCTGGTCTTGAACTCCTGACCTCAGGTTATCCACCCACCTTGGCCTCCCAAAGTGCTGAGATTGCAGGCATGAGCCACTGTGCCTGGCCTTTTTTTCTTCTTGTGTAGTATGTCCACTGCACAGCTAAGAATTAAAATAGCAAACATCTGTGTATCTTCCACTTTGCTTTATTGAAGCCTAACATTTTACAAACTAGTCTCAGGATTTTGTTTTTTTTTTTTTTTTTTTTTAGTAGACGGAGTTTCACTCATGTTACCCAGGCTGGTGGAGTGCAATGGCGCGATCTCGGCTCACCGCAACCTCCGCCTCCTGGGTTCAGGCAATTCTCCTGCCTCAGCCTCCTGAGTAGCTGGGACTACAGGCACGCGCCACCATGCCCAGCTGATTTTTTGTATTTTTAGTAGAGATGGGGTTTCACCATGTTGACCAGGATGGTCTCGATCTCTTGACCTTGTGATCCACCTGCCTCGGCCTCCCAAAGTGCTGGGATTACAGGCTTGAGCCACCGCGCCCGGCAGGATTTTCTTTTTAATAGAACAGCGAGGATTGAGTGCTTCTGGTGCCTCTAACATGACACTTGAAGGCAGTCATCTTCTCTGCAAAGGGTCATCTGGGCTCTAGCAGAGGCCCCATGTCCTCCCCTCTTCCCACAGTTTGGTACCAGCTCCTAAGGCCACATTGGTCATTCTCAGGCTCTGAAAGGAAGAATTCTTTGGGTGTGGCAAAGATTTTAAAAACCTGAACTCACCTGAATGATCTGAATTACTCTCTTGGAAATGTTCAGAAGCTGTCAACTGGGAATGAAGAGATGAGTCGTGGAAGTTTCCTCCAGGAGGTTGAGATGTGATGTGGCTGGAAGAGGTTATTGCAGACTCTGCATTCATCTTCCCTGACTCCCAGTCATCAGGCAGAGAAGAACAGTCCAAATCACCTACTGGAAAGGCAGAGGGGTTCAGTGAGAGAGAGAGAGAGAGAAGGAGAGAGAGCATGAGTGTTCACTGACTCCTCAATGCACAGTTAGTTCCTAATATTCAAAAAAATAGTATCATTGATACACTATTGCACTACCATAGTGGGATGGGAGAAGGATTTCTGGATGAGATGGTGTATTAGTCTGTTGTAATGTTGCTGATAAAGACTTTCCTGAGACTGTGTAATTTATAAAGAAAAAGAGGTTTAATAGATGCACAGTTTCACATGGCTGGGGAGGCCTCACAATCATGGTGGAAGGCAAGGAGGAGTAAAGTCTTGTCTTACATGGATGGTGGCAGGCAGACAGAGAGAGAATAAGAGCCAAGCAAAAAGGGAAACCCCTTATAAAACCATCAGATCTCGTGAGACTTATTCACTATCATGAAAACAGCATGGGAAAGACCCATCCCCATGATTCAATTCCCTCCTACCAGGTCCCTCCCACAACACGTGGGAATTGTGGGAGTTACAATTCAAGATGAGATTTGGGTGGGGACACAGGTAAAACATATCAGATAGCATTTCAATTTGTCATCATCTTTGAAGGTTAAAGAGAAGTATCCGGTGAAGAGATAAACAAAGGCCAGAGGCATCTTCACTGACATTGAGGTTTATATAGATGGATTTAAAAGACGTGTAGTCAGATGAACCTCCTATCTTTATAGGACCAAACTTTAGCAGTCAACTCCTTCTACTTCTAATTCATTTATTCATTTAACATTTATTGAATGTGACTGTGTATCAGAAACTGACCTAGCTGCTGGGATATAGTGGTGAATTAGAACAACATCTCTGTCCTTACATACTGCTGGGAGACAGGGGAGAAAATATCTTGTGATAAGTGTCATGAAGGAAATTCTCCCTCTATAAAATACACTGAAATGCTGGATAAAATATAGCAACCATCTGTTTAAATTTTTTATTCAAAGAGGCTATTTCATACATACATAGCTTCAAGAACATGCACCCATTTTCTTCTATGATGATTCATACATAAATATATTTTACTGGCCCTAAACTTAGCCTGACATTCTCACAAAAAAGTCAAGTTTATTGCAAAAGCATGCATGCAACATCAAGTGTTGAACATGCTAAGATGACTCCTCATAACAATTGGTGTCTTCAGTGTGAGGTCAACAAGGAATGAATTTTAATCCTTGATTCTTAGTTCGAGTCAGAGATTAAGGGATCCAACACTCCCCAAGCCAAAGCTTCCTTGGAAAGGATGAATGTGTTAAAAATGCCTTTCAACAACAGGGAAAGTTAAGCACCACACCTCTGACTCTACCACTGGAAGTCTCTCATTTGGTTCATCTGGCATAAATGTACCTAGGAATTCTCTTGGTTCTGTCTTGAGTTCTCTGTATCATATTCCAGGACTTAACTTTACTCTTGTGATCTTGGGTAAAAATTTGAGCCAGTTTAGAGCTCATTGACTTGGAAGCAAAGCCACTCAGAAAAAGTAGCCTTGGGATGTAGGTATTTTCTAGGCTGACATCTAAAAGAGATTGCACATGCCTGACAAATGTTATTTTTCTTTAACTCTATAGCTGAGCTCAAAAGAAGGAATTATTCCCAAAGGCCAAGCCAGGGAAACCTAGAACTCTAAGCATGTGCTGTGGATGAAGCTTCCAAAAGGGGTGGGGAGAGGGCCTTAGAAGTCATAGTAATCAAAGGCTATGGATTAACTGACATTAGGGACAAGGAAAAGGCCTTGATCTCAAGAGAGGCAGAAAACTGAAACCGATAGGACTCAAAATGCTGCTTCCTCAATAAAAACATGTCTAGGAAAAAACATCTGCCCACTAGTTCTAGGAGAAGCCATGAAAGCTTATCTCTTTTGGCCTAGGTAATGAGTGGGAGAAAATGTCTCCCCTAACGCTTTATAAGTAAGTGGGTTTTGAGTTAAAATTTATACTAACCTGAGAAGTTAATATTTTAAAAAGTCCCAAGCTGGTACTAACCCTGTGACATCTGCCAGAAGCCAACATAAAAACTCTCAGTGAAAACACACTGTAAGCCAATCTGCAAAGATTTCCCCAGATAAAGCCCAAAGGACATGAGCTCACAATCTAAAATTATAAATTATACAGAGGGATAATCTCCCATGGGTAAGGAGAATAAATATGGTGCTTCAAAAAAAGATAATCCTGCAGTGGGAGACAATGGGGGCAGCCATGAGGTTACTGTCTGGCTTTAGGCTTTGAGCAGGAGGCATGGTGTTTGGAGAAATCGTCCTAATTTATTTTACCTTGGGGGAAACTCTGAAGACCTGTAAAATTTTTGTTTTTTATTTTTGGGGGTTCTGTTTATACTCCTAGTATGTCCTTATTTTTGCTTCTTGTCTAAATAGGACAATCATTTCTATGGTCCATGATTTCATGACTAAGGGAAGTAGGCATATTGGCTGGGCAAATATTTGGTAAACTTACAAATTGTAGGACACTTAGATGGGAGGGGAACAAGGGAGAATAAGACACTGTCCCCAAAGAAGTTGAAATCTAGGGGGCCTGGGTGTGTGTGTGTCTGTGTGTGTGTACACACGAGTCAACAGTGGGAATCGATAAAGAAGGCATCACTTATGGACAGGGGAAACAGATTATCATTTGCTAAAAAGAGATGACACGTGGTTTGGTAGAAATTTCAAGGACTTTGGCATCTGAAAGATTGGAACATACATTGTAATACTAGTAACAGGGCAATTTGCTTAATTTTTCTGACCCTGAGTTTCTTCATGTAAAATAAGGCAGTAATGTCTACTTTTTTACAGCTGCGATCACTGAAGGAGAAAAGGCAAAATTGTAAACATCTTAACATATAGTATAGATAGAGAGAATTGAAATTTCTATCACTAATAAACATTAAAATAGATATTGTCCCTAGTTACACGACCAAAAGGGATAGTCAACTTCTTGCAGAGTGGGGGGTGGGAGGAGGGTGCCGATGAGTCATCAAAGGATGTTTAAAGGTGGAAGGGATTTTAAAGAATTTATCATTCTATAATAAAAGGAGCTTGTTACTTGACCTTGGGAAAGGTAATATTTACTTTGAATTAGATATACAGGAAATTGCTATACCATGAAGAGGTTTCTAAACTTGCCCAGACATTTCTAGGCACAAGCGTTATCCCATACAGTTGCTTAATTGCCCTGACTTCACTGCAGCACGGATTAGAAGAAAGTGCCCCAGCGGAGGGAAAAGGCCCCTCTCTGCCCCCTGCCCCATCACAGACTGGATAGGCATGGTGAGAGGGTCTCTGGGAGACACCAACTGGACCTAGTGGAGAACAGCCACCACTCCTGAGAAGGGTTTAGAGACAGGGACAAGAGAAAAACAAGGAGGAAGAAATCAAAGAATCAAAAAGGTGATTTTTACTGTGTAGTAGGAACTTCAAGGGGAAAAAACAGGGGAATCTGAACAGCCCCAGTTAATAAATAGAAACTTTCTCTGCCTTGATTGCTGTCATGGACTGTCCGGAGCATAAAATGACTAAGAAAAGGTATCAACCAGCTAGGAGGAAAGACTGAGGCAGCCCCCAGTGACGGTCCCAGCCAGAGGTGTTGGGAAGTGGAGGAAAAGTAAGGGGAGAACAAATGCAAAGGATGCTGCGTTGATACAGGCCAGGAAGATCTACGTAGTCATTCAATGCGGTCATTGTATATACTGCAAATGCTGCCCTGAAAGAAGGTAGTCAAATTAGATACTGCCCTGCCCTACTAAGGATCTGGAGAGGGACAGACATGCAAATGAACAATTAGGATGCAATGAGGTAATTGCCACAATGAAGGCTGGAACAAGTTATCAGGTGGGAGTCTAGGAAGGGGTGTCTGAGTCTGTTTGGGGGAAGTCCAGGGAGGCTTCACAGAGGAGGCAGTGCTTCATTGAAAACTGGACGGATGAGTAGGAGTTCTTCCACCTAGGCAGCAGGAAGAGGACAGTTCTGGCAGAGAGGAAGAGGGTGCGTGTGGATAAAGAGAAATTATAAGACATCCATCTATGAGAGATCAGGGTTGATTCCCATAAGAGTGTTTTCCTGTGCAGCTGGACAAAAGCATGTGCGTGAAGTCAGTCCCAGGAGATTATTCTGTCTGGGCTGATAAGCAGAGGTCACATCGTGTGGGGTCTCATGTCACATGACTCCAAGCTAAGATTGACTCTGTGGGCATTTGGAGTCATTAAAAAAATTTGAGCATGAATGTAACATGAAATGCTTTGTGTATTAAAATGCTCACTCAGCAGTGAGAGATTTTTGAGATTCTCAGTCTCCCATTCTAGGAGCTGAGCGACTATGGGGCTCTAAGAGACACTGGGGTCCTCATACAACAGTAGTTCTTAATATGGGGTGAAATCTCCTTCCGGGGGACATGGTGCAGTATGGTGATATAGTTTATGTTTTCACAGCTTCGGGTGAGGTGAGGGTTGTTATGGGCATCTACTGAACAGAGGACAGAGATGCTGTTAAGCACACAATAATGCACAGGACTGGTGCCACAACAAGGCATTACCTGGCCCAGAATACCATGATGCTGAGGCTGAGAAACCCTGTCATTGAGAGAGCGTACCTAACTGTCTAAGGCAACTGCATCATTAGAGTCCTTTCGACAACTCCGGTAGGTGCTTCGAGTGGGGATCACGTGTCTGTATTTTCCTGATTGTGCTTACTTTAGTCAAAACACTCTGTTCTCTCCATTCAGAGGACAGTCATAATTTATGATTTTAAAATTGTTATAGAAATACAGACAATAGAATACATAATTTGTGTAATTTTTGGGTTATTTAGTGTCTGCTCCCTCACTAGACGAAAGACTCTGTGAGAGAAAGGTCACTTCATCTGTCCCAGACACCAGCAATTAGTACCCAGCTCATAGTTAGCATTCAATAAACGTTATGGAGAATTTGGTAAGAGGTGAAAGGTTAAGACATGTAGTGTTATTTGCAAAACCTAAAGTGGGCCTGTTATAA